CTTTCCTGCTCCACTGATGATGCCTGGCCTGCTGTGCTCCTCCAGCTCCACACCGTGTTATCACGTGATACCGACATGTTTCCCCCACCTGCTTTCTGGGTAATGTAGTTCCTCCGTCGTCGAGTGCTCCAAATTCTGGAACAGAACTTGCTGGAAAAGCTCAGCAGGTCCAGCAGCATCTGTATGAAGAAAAACAAAACCGGTGTTAACCTTTCGGGTCCGCTGACACTTCCTCGGAACTTCCGCCCCAAATTCTGCACGTTCCAGGTTTTCTGAAGAAGAGTCCCGACCGGAAACGTCAGCTTTCCTGCTCCCCGGCCTGCTGTGCTCCTCCAGCTCCACACCTTGTTATCTCTGTACGTACCTAGCAGCCATTCGACTACACAAAGAATGAGCACAAACATCTGGAAATAGTATAAGAAAGTTTGAGTGACGTGCCCAATTCTCGGACCTTAAGTGGAGGGAGATGACAATTTGAGGCACCAGGAATGGGTACAAGTGTAGGTGTTGGGGAGGGAGAATGGGCGGAGATGTAGGTATTATTAAAGTTTAGGGTCGCTGCTGAAAGGCGCTGCGATGGTGCCGAAGGGATCGGAGAGGAGCTGTCAGACTGGTCAAGAACCGTAGATAGTAGGAACTGCAGATGCTGGAGAACCTGAGATAACAAGGTGTAGAGCTGGATGAACGGAGCAGGAAGGCTGACGTTTCGGCCCTAGACCCTTCATCAGAAATGGGGGAGGGGGCAGGGAGTTCTGAAATAAATAGGGAGAGAGGGGAGGCGGATAGAAGATGGAAAGAGGAGGCGATAGGTGGAGAGGAGACAGACAGGTCAAAGAGACGGGGTTGGAGCCAATAAAGGTGTGTAGGTGGGGAGCTAGGGAGGAGATAGGTCAGTCCAAGGAGGACGGACAGATCAAGGGAGCGGGATGAGGTTGGTCGGTAGGAGATGGGGGTGCGGCTTGAGGTGGGAGGAGGGGATAGGTGGGAGGAAGAACAGGTTAGGGAGGCAGGGACAGCTGGACTGGTTTTGGGATGCGGTAGGGGGAGGGGAGATTTTGAAGCTTGTGAAATCCATATTGATATCATTCGGCTGCAGGGTTCCCAAGCGGAATATGAGTTGCTGTTCCTGCAACCTTCAGGTGGCATCGTTGTGGCACTGCAGGAGGCCCAGGATGGACATGTCATCTGAGGAATGGGAGGGGGAGTTGAAATGGTTCGTGACTGGGAGGTGCAGTTGTTTATTGCGAACCGAGCGTAGGTGTTCTGCAAAGCGGTCCCCAAGTCTCCGCTTGGTTTCCCCGATGTAGAGGAGGCCACAGCGGGTACAGCGGATGCAGTATACCACATTGGCAGATGTGCAAGTGAACATCTGCTTGATGTGGAAAGTCTTCTTGGGGCCTGGGTTGGGGGTGAGGGAGGAGGTGTGGGGGCAGGTGTAGCACTTCCTGCGGTTGCAGGGAAAAGTGCCGGGTGTGGTGGGGCTGGAGTGGAGGGTGGAGCGGACAAGGGAGTCATGGAGAGAGTGGTCCCTCCGGAAAGCAGATAAGGGTGGGGAGGGAAAAATGTCTTTGGTGGTGGGGTCGGATTGCAGATGGCAGAAGTGTCGGAGGATGATGTGTTGGATCCGGAGGTTGGTGGGGTGGTACGTGAGGATGAGGGGGATTCTTTTTTCGTTGTTATTGCGGGGACGGGTTGTGAGGGATGAGTTGCGGGAAATGCGGGAGACACGGTGGAGGGCGTTCTCGACCACTGAGGGGGGGGATGTTGCGGTCCTTGAAAAATGAGGACATCTGAGATATACGGGAGTGGAATGCCTCATCCTGGGAGCAGATGCGGCGGAGGCGAAGGAATTGGGAATTGGGGATGGCATTTTTGCAGGAAGGTGGGTGGGAGGTGGTGTATTCTATGTTTCGGTCCTTTCATGTCTTTTCACCACGTGTGCTCGTCTCTCCTCCCATCATGGCATAGGATATGTCCCGCTCTCCGTTCTGTGTTCACACCGTGACCATTGGGATGGGTCGTTAGGGGAAAAGCTTTAACCTCTGTCCCATCTTCAAGCTCGTGCTTGCCGGTCCTCCAATCAGATTGCCGCTTTTTCCCGCTTTCGCTGACCGGAACAGGTTGCGGCCGTTGGATTTGAGTCTCCGCCCCTCCCGGCCTCGTGCTGGTAGACCGAGCGGGAAAGAGGCCATTTGGTCCTGCAGCTCATCAAGCATCCCAATCTTCTTCTAATCCCACCCTCCAAGCTGCACGCCATCTTGACTTGGAACTATAACATCTTACCCTCACTGTTCCTGGGTCAAAATTCTGCAACTGCCTCCCTCATATCACCAACTGTGGACATTGCTAAACCCCAAAGAAAGTAAGTTGTTCAAGGAAGCATCTCATAACTATCTTCTAGGGCAAGTAAGGATGGGCAATAAATGCTGGCATAGTCAGTGAAACTTGCATCCCTTAAATGAATAAATCCCAGCGCTAGTCATTCAGATGTTGGTTTCAATACATTTTGGCATGGTGGCTCACTGCTGCCTCACAGTGCCAGGGACCAAGGTTCGATTCCACCCTCAGGTGACTGTCTGAGTAGAGTTTGCACATTCTCCTTGTGTCTTCGTGGGTTTTCTCCGGTTTCCTCCCACTGTCCAAAGATGTGCAGTTTAGGTGGATTGGCCATGTTAAATTGCCAGTACTGTCCAGGGATGTGCAGGCTGTTTGGATTAGCCATGAGAATTGCAGGGTTACACGGATAGGGTAGGGGAACGGTGTGGGAGGGATGTTCTTCAGAGGGTCAGTGTGGACTCAATGGGCTGAGTGGCCTGCTTCCACACAGTAGGGTGTCTATGATAAATTTTTTGAGGGTTCCCGCCTTGACCACCATTTCAGGCAGTCAGTTCCATGTATCAGCAACCTGCTGGGTAAAACAAAATCCTCAAAACTCCTCTTAACCTCCATAACTTAAAACTGCCAAACAAAAAACAGAAATTGCTAGAGAAACCTAGCAGGTCTGCCAGGATCTGTGGAGAGAAAGCAGAGTCAATGAGTCCAGTGACCCTTTTTCACAGCTGGTGAACTATGACCCCTGGTTGTTGGCAACCAGATATCCTAAATTAATCTAGTCCCATTTGCCAGCATTTGGCCCATATTCCTCTAAAACCTTGCTATTCACGTATCAATCCAGATGGCTTTTGAATGTTGTAATTGTACTAGCCTCCACCATCTCCTCTGGAAGCTCATTGCATATGTGCACCACCCTCTGTGTAAAAAAGTTGCCCCTTAGGGCCCTTATAAATCTGTCCCCTCTCACCTTAAACCAATGCCCTCTAGTTTCTCTATGCTGGGAAAAAGACCTTGACTGTCCACCCTATCCATGCCCCTGATATTTTTATAAACCTCTATAAGGTCACCCCTCAGTCCCTGACAGTCCGGAAAATTGCCCCAGCCTATTTTGGGGCAGCACGGTGGCTCAGTGATTAGCACTACTGCCTCACAGCACCAGAGGCCCAGGTACAATTCAACCCTTGCGTGACTGTCTGTGTGGTGTTTGCACATCTCCATGTGTCTGCATGGGTTTCCTCCTACAGTCCAAAGATGTGCAGGCTAGTTGGATTGGCCATTCTAAATTGTCAATAACATCCATGGATGTGCAGGCTATGTGGATTAGCCATGGAAAGTGCAGGGTTAGGGTACAGGGGGGCAAGTTGGTTCTTGGTGGGATGCTCTTCGGAGGGTTAATGTGGACTTGATGGGCCAAGTGGCCTGCTTCCACACTCTGTGATTCTATTCAGCCTCTCCCTATAACTCAAACCCTTCAAGCCTGGCAACATCATTGCAAATCTTTTCTGAACCCTTTCAAGTTTAACAGCATCTTTCCTATACCAAAGAAACCAGAATTGAATGCAGGATTCCAAAAGTAGCCTAACCAATGTCAGGCTCTGACTGTTGGGTTTGAGCGCCCTCTGTCCTGCCTGCTGTTCACTGATTTTCGCATAACTCGCAGTACTGTATCCTGGTCCTCCATTGTGCTATTTTAAGTTAGATAGTCAAGCATCAGGAAAGTGAGGACACTGAGGAAGTTTTCAGTAGGAAAGAAATCCAGCATTGCTCCAGAACTCCACCCTACCCTGAATTAAAGGAACAAAAGTAAAACAAAGAAAGTGAAGAATTATCAGAAGTAGAGTGAAGGGACAGGGGAGAGGGTGTTGGTGATTATGCGATGGTGGTACTGGCAAGTGGCCTTTCTCAGATCAAGTACAATGACAAATTGCAGTGAATGGTCAAATTCAGGAATCATTGATACATAGTGACTAAATCCAGAGAACTCTTACACTAAGAGACCGAATGCAATTCTTACTGTGTGATGATACAATGGCTTTAAGGGTATTTTGTCCTGGTTTTTGTTATGGAAAGGGGTAGAGACAGAGGTGCCAAGTGGTCTGCTCCAAGCTTGTGAGGCCTTGGGTTGTTTTTAAAGTTGGAACAATAGAAGCAGCATGAATTGGCCGAGTTAGGCTCCCAAAGAACCAGGGTGTCAGTTTAGCTTTCAGTAATTGCTGGGGTCTTGAAGCTGTTATTCCTCTCTTTGTTAAAGCTAAAAGTTGGAATTCTGTCTGCTGCCAGAATTGCATGTGAGACAATTTATTTTTATGAATTTGCCTTTGCCAAGGGTATGTTTATGGAATGTTACTATATTGGAGCAGGTGATGTTTTGTAGTTAAATAATCTATCGTTCTGTTAAGTTTTCCAATAGAGTTAAGTTATTCCAATTCTATTTTTGTTTGTATTTTAACTATAGGGTAATGTTACAGTGAGGAGGACGAACCTCTCTGATAGTTAAAACTGAAATACCCAGAGAGGCTTGCCTCACCTCATAATCTGTTAAAAGAAATGGGAAAAATAGCCTGGCTTTCACCTCCTAATCTGTTATAAAGGAGAGGTTAAATGAAAGAAATCCCTGATAATCACTTTATGAATAACAGGTAACAATTTATTTATTGAACTCTAACAATGAACAAATTAACAGACCTACTAACAAACCAAACAATTCCCCCATAGCTACTAACTATTCCTAAACAGGGCAAAATTCTAATGGCATGCTGTTCCAATAAATACAAAGGCCCACTTATATAAGCCAAAGTAATAAGAAAAATAAATTAAAACTCTCAAAACTACAGTCCGGATGAACCTTCCGGAATGTTCCATACTTTTCCGCTGTTCTTCAGTCAGGAATTCTTTCTTCGTCAAATCCTTGTGTCAGGAATATTAGCTCAGAGTACCATAGTACCTTCTAGATGGTGCTCAATCCGAGAGCTTAAAGATTTCTAAGACAGCCAGTGTTTTACTCTTCTGATGGCAGTTTGCTCTCACCACGATTTTCAAAAAAAAACCCCTCTTCTTGTATACCTTTGATGACCTGTCAATTTTCTTATAATAGGATTGGTCCTAGGTTGTCAACACCATCAGTTTTAAATTTAATTGGGTTTTGGTATCTATGGCGTGGTTTAAATTCATTGGCTGATATTCAAGCTGGTCGCCTTAACATTGCCTAGATTGCCAACCACACAGCCAGTTGATATATATGTTTTAATTTCAGAACTGGCTGTGCATCTGCAGCTGCTTGCAGACTTTTTTTTCTCTCCAAGCTTAGAAAAGCACATCACCTCTTAAAGGGACCATGCACCCTTCCCCCATATCATTTTTACAAACAAATTC